CCGCTTTACGGCTGCTGGTTCGACTCGAGAGTGAGATATCCCGTAAGGCACAGCGGAACAAGTGGTTCCGTAAGAACGATCGGTGAGCGACCCCTACCGCTGTCTTGACTGAGTTCTACTGGCTGCGTTTAGAAATTATCGGACGGCCCAGCCAGCATCTGAGAACCAGAGCTCACGCAAAACGCTCAGCGTGGTGTGGTGATTGCTATCCTGCATGTGCTATACATAGTCATTTTTAAACAAATCGCCAAAAACTAGCGATCCTACAGCTCCAAGTGTACAAGGAATCACCAATGGTTAGGTCAGCGCTTTCAGCAGCATATACCATGCAGAGGTCCGGATTACCTTTATTTGTATTTCATCTTAAACAGCCATAACTCATAACCAAAGGGACAGGTTGAGGGAGAACATTGTTTCAGTTCCTTTTCCCTCTTTATCTTTTCCAAAACTGGATGAAGAAGCATAAAAAGCCCTGCTAAAGTTCTTTTTAGAAATAGGATTACTGCGCTTCTTAAAGTACACCGTCAATCCCTCTCATTTTTTAAGTGTGTGTTTACAACAGATGAAAACAACGAATGTTGCAAGCCGAAAAATCAACTTCGGTGCCAAAGGACTAGTTATTGCGGTTGCTGCCATATCCTCAACGGCACGAACCCGAGGACTTACTTGGTCATCGGGTTCCTTATATCGGTTAGCAGGGATAGCCACGGGCATTGCATGAAAGCCCTGTGAACCGACTGAACAGCTTTTACCCGAATAATCACCGTAAAGTGCTGAAAATGCAGTGGAATGAATGAATCTGGCATAATGTGATGAGTCTAGTGTGCGAGAGTTTTTCCAACTCCAGAGCAAGGGATGGCACAACATGTTGGGCAAACTTGACTGTAGCCAGAGAGCCTACAAGGCTCAGTAAGCAATGGCAGCAAGTATTCTTACCGGCCCAGTTTCAGTCATTTAGGTTGTTAGTCCAGCACCTAATCAGCGAAGGCGTCTTTGCTTTGCTTGTTCTTGCTTGCCAGCTTTCTCTCTGTCTGTTTATGTTTGTGCTTTTTGTAAGTTAAATGCAGTTCTGTTGAATTTTATCTGTCTGCCTTTGATTTTAATAGTTTTTGCTTGTCTGGCCTTCGTCTGATTGCTTCTGTTTGCCCTTGTACGCTGTCAGCCGTTATTTTGAGTCTGTTTGCTCACCGCTTATATTTCAGCAATCAGTTCACAAAGAGAGCGACGGGAATTCACTGCTTCCCGTCTCTCTACCTTTCTCCCATCCCCTCCCCCTCCGTCCCTTCTAGTCCTACAGCAATGTCGTAGACAGGCTAACTCGTGTTGTTCTCCCAATAAGTAAAAGACGTCGACAAAAGTGGAGTTCGGCAGCCGTCTGGGACAAATGAGTAGCCCTATATAAGGGAAGCGCTGCTCACTCCCGCGAGTGGGAAGAGACTATAAAAGGTGCTCTAAACAAATGCTGGGGACCTACGCCGTCTGCACACTGGCCGTGGCCGTAGACGCAAAACCCACGGTCGAAACCACCAAATCCGACAGACCACTCTCTCGCTCTCTTCCCCTCCTACCCGCCGCCCTACCCGTCAGACTGGTAGGGTAAGACCACTCACCATGACAGCCTGGAATGTTCGTTCGCCTTTATACAATCCGGAGAGCCAGCGAGTGCAGTGGTGGACAGCGCTAGTGACTCAGGAACTGGCGCCCTACAAGGTGGACATTGCTGCACTCAGCACGACCCTCTCCTCTGAGCAAGGCCAACTGGAGGCGGTGGGTGCCGAATACGCCTTCTTCTGGAGCGGTCACCCCAAGGCAGTGTGCACTCAAGGAGATGCAGTCCTCCGAAGAAGGTCAACTAGAGGAGGTTAGTGCCGGCTACACCTTTTCTGGAGCGACTGAACGCGGGCGTCGCATTCGTCAACCGGAACGACATTGTGGGTCGACTGCCTTGTCTGCCGCAAAAATATCAAGGATCGCCTTGTAAGCCTCCGCCTGCCGCTTCGAGGAGATAAATTCGCCACCACCGTCATCGTCCACCGCCCCCCCCCCCTACGATGATCAGCCCTGAAACTGCAAGGAACAAATTCTACGAGGACCTGCACGCCCTCCTGGCGACTGTGTCGAAGGCAGACGAGTTAATTGTCCTTGATGATTACAACGCCCGCGTCAGCACGGAGCAGGCTGCCTAAAAAAGAGTGCTGGGTTACGATAGTCTCGATGGTCCTAACTACAATGGCATGCGGCGAACACCGACTCATTCTGACCAACACCTACTTCCGCCTCCAAATGCGAGAGAAGGTCACCTGGATTCACCCTTGGTCGCGGCATTGGCACCCGCTGGATTATGTCCTCGTCTGGAGACGAAACCAGTGGGACGTGCTGGCGAAAATGGCAATTCGGGTTGCCGACGGGTGGACCGACCATTGTCTCGTCATCTCGAACATGCGGATTCGCCTACAGCCTCGTAGGAGACCTCAAGGTAAGCGGTTCCCAGGTAAGTTGTATATTGCTTCGCTGCTTTTGCTTGCTCACCATCTTCATTTCGGTAACGAGCTATCTCAACGGCTATCCAACCTTCCAGTCGCTGCTGCTGCTGGGGCCGCTGACGAGAACGCCTCCGTGGAGAACCGATGGAATCACCAGCGGGACACAGACTAGTCCACGGCCCTGGCTGTCCACGGTCACGCAAGACGCCAACACCAGGATTGGTTTGATAAAAACGACGCCGCGATCAGAAATCTACTCGCCGAGAATAATCTCCTGTATAAAGCCTACGTCAACCGTACCACCGATGACAGCAGACCAGTCTTTTACCGTAGTCGCAGCTTTCGGCAACAGCGTCTGAACGTGATGCAGGACGTTGGACGGTTCGTAGGACCGAAGAGGTCCAATGGGACACGGAGTGCAACAAATGGAAGAACATCTTCGCCGTGATCAAAGCTGTCCACGATCCGCCAACCAATGATACTGCACCTCCTCCAGGCGCCGACGGCAGTACCCTACTTACTGAAAAGATAGATTCTACAGCGATCTAGCAAGCAATTCAGAGGCGTCCTCAACCTTCCCTCCATCATCTCCGACGCCGCCATCCCCCGTCTGAATCAAGTGGAGACCAACGCCGACCTCGAACTCCCTTCCGCTCTTCACGAAACCATCAGGGATCTACAGTAGCTCTCCAGTGAGAAAGCGCCCGAATCGGAAGTGATTCTTGCTGAGGTCTACAAACATGTTTGTCCCCGACAAATGGACAAACTGACTGCGCTCTTACAGGGGATGTGGCGTCAAGGCGGAGTCCCGCAGGATTTCAAAGACGCCACAAGCGTGCCTCCATACAAGCGGAAAGGAAACTGCCAGCTCTGCGACAACCACCGAGGCAATTTCTTGCTGAACATTGCCGGAAAAATCTTCGCTCGCATTCTTCTCAACCGCCTGAACCACCATCTGGAACAAGGTCTGCTGGCCCGTACATTCACCTCATACATCGGCCTGGTCGATCGCTTGCTAATTCATCGCACAGGGCTTGCGAACCAGTGCCTGGAACGCCCACATACACTCGCCGCATCCGACTCAACTGCCCTCACCGCACCCGCACATTCACCCACCGCATGGGCCTATTAGGCCATCGGCGGATTCACAAAAACCTACAGTAGACAACCGCCGGCTGGAGCACAGTATTACGTCTTCCTCCACCTACGTCATGCAACATTCTCATGCACCGCAAGCATCAAATTACCTCATCCCACGCAAGCAGGAAGTATGCGTCTCAGTAACGTCTCCATGCAACCTATTTGCAGCCTGCGTGATTCGAGTCTGAGTCTATCACGGCGCATCGAACGCTGTGGCTTTGAAGGCTGCAGTCTGACGCCCCAACTCAGCCCACGCAGTCTGTCCAGTTTGTGTGTGTGTGAGTGCGTGTGTGTGGAATGGTGGACTGGTGGGTTGAGAGCCAGGCTGCAGCGGCTCCTTCGTAACGTGGCCTATGGCACTTTGACTCATGAGAGATGCACGCCACCAAAATCCCGTTGTGGTGAATCCTGGTGCTTATGTTTGGGGTCAAGTCGTGTATGGGACGCTCGAATACAAGGTCACTAGATATTTCAGCAACCCCGCCTATTCTCCGCACTAGCCAACTGACTGGCCCGGACAGTGGCTGAGGCCTGGTACTTGGAAGGAAATATGAGGTCGACGACTCAACGCATTTCCCTCACTATAAATAATCTGAAGTGATTGAAGTTACTCCGGTGCGCTGAAAGCCGTGACTTTGAAGGTTGCCAACTGCTGGGACAATTTAGACTTCGCAGGCAGTTCAGTGTTGACTGTTTGTGTGAAGCGGCCGACCGGTAGTCTAAGAGTCCGTCTGCCAAGGCTCCTTCTCAATGTGACCTTTATTGCAATCTCATTCCGTGGCAACAGAGCCTGCGGGCGGTTTCGACTGCGCCAGCCTCCATTTCTGTTGTTGGTTAAAATCCCGGTCATTTAATGTGGGGACCACGGGGGTGTGGAGTGGAACGCCAAGGTGCGGGCTCGACCGTGCCATCCACCTGCACTCTCTCCCACGTCTGTTCTTCTTGACTTTGTCTTGACACCGAGTCCAAGAGGAGGGAGGAGAGAGTGCGGTAGGTGCTGTGCAAGTCTGTATCCACCAAAAACTAAATCAAGCGCAAGTCAACATGCCTGCCTTAACTATCTGGGAGCGCACGGTGTGAATCGTTTGCAACAACGACGGAATTGTGTGCATTGGGGACTGATACGTGCGTGCTTGGTGGCTGGATGATATTCGTCACAGATAGATGAGTTATTAAGCTTTGTCAACAACGCGTTTACGTCCATCTGTGGCAGTCTTGAAGTTTGAGTGATTGTTGGCGTATTTACTGCCCGATGAGTTCTGCGTCAACTGCGATCGTTGATGTTATTTGATAATGAAGATATGTGATGCTATTCTACTGTGTATATAAAGCCATTATCACAACACCATGCTGGGATCATCGGCATTAGATGTAGGTCTAACTATCCGAATTGATTATGGAAATGGCACAATCGACTAAATCACTGTTTAAACTGTGTTCTTTTCGGCCGCGTCGGCGGTTAATTAGGACAGAGAGGCCGATCACCAGCGCCAGAAGGCAGACGATTCCAATTGTGGTAGCGGCGATCGCAAACGGCGGAAGGCCCTTCTCTTGCGGGATCTCTAAAAGAACACAAAAGTATATCAAATCAGGATTGTACAACGATGATACTTCGATTGTACAGACGGTGTGTTGACGCATGATGGGACATTTTGTTATGTTTTCGGTAACGCATCGTCAGGCCAAAGCAGCTACATAGAAATTGAAAATATGCGAAGTTCGTAGAGTTATAAGTGACTCATGGGCCATTAGCACTCATCATTCCCACGTCATCCGCATGGAAGCTTCGGCGTTTTATGGTCACCATGTCAGGGGGTGAGGAGGAGGGTGCCATATGCTGTGAGTGGTGCTTTTAAGTCGGGCACGTTGACCATACATCACTGCCATCAGGAGGTTGAGGTGGCGCATTATTGTCGCCTGGGGGCGGTGTTGGCCACGGAAGACATAGCGCCTGTGTCAACGTCTTCTGACAGCATAGCACTGGATTGTCTAGCCTCGGCTGTAGCTAGCACCCGTTGGCGTAGGCCTCTGGGTAGGCTTGCTGGTGTCCGATAGACAATCTAAAACTCTTCTTTGGCATCAACTCGGTGATTCGTATCGACAAGTTGTGCGAAGATGGAACTCGGAATCCATTTGTTTTCACCTCTGTCTAGTCAGGCCGGTATGTGTTCACCTACTCTCTTTTCCAGGCGCCTCGTTGGACAGCCAATGTATTTCACTCCACAGGAGCAAGTGAATGAGTAAATACACCCCGATGTGGCCATCAACAGTAGTTGGTCTTTACCTCCCAAGCGTAGGAGAGGAGAGTTCGTGAAACGTACAGGTAAATTCGCCGCGGGGAAAGCGCTAGTGGTCGCTGCCTTCATGCGTCGTTTTACTATGCCACTTACTGTGTGCCCTTGAAGAGTTAGTCTTATAAATAAGTTTTTCTTTTCTGCAGTTGCCATTGTGTGCTTTTCAGTACGCTCCCCTACATTTCGGAGGTTAAATATCTTTTGGTATCCGTTTTCGTGAAGTATATCCTTCAGCTGCTGTGATTCTGCCTCAACAGTCTTAGGCGAGCAGATACGCCGCACTGTAACTGCCAATCCCGGGACCAAATTGCGTTTAATATTTAGGGGGACAAACCTGTGAAAATAAGTGTATTATCCAGTCCAATTTTTCTTTCGGAATGCCTTACGTTGGATAAACCCATCCTCTTGTCTGTGCAGAAGAACATCGAGGAACGCGATTTCGTTGTCTGCCTCAAACTCTGCAGAAAACTTTAATCAGGGGTGTTCACTTTCAATCTTTTGGACTTTATCAGTGGTCGTCGGGCAGAAAATATCGTCCAAGTGCCGACCGTAGAAGTCAATGTCACTAATAATATCTTGTAACCTTGTCTTATCGACTTTGCCCATGAACAAAAATTGTAAGGAACATTCCAAAAGGTGAACCAATTGCTACGCCATCTATTTGCCTCTACGGTTGGCCATTGCACAGAGGCCGGATGTTTTGTGTGCAACGTGTTGGCAATTCTTATGACGTTTCTACTGCCATGCCTAAGGTGGAAAAGTCAGAGAAGTTAACAATTTTGCTATCAGATTCCAGGAACTTAACTGAAGGCAGACCTCTAGGAAGGACGACCTATAATATGCTTCACCGCGATGGGCATGGAATCATCCCTCCTTTCCCTGAGATTCGCATATTCGCATCCATCCGAGAAAGAAAGATCTATAATATGTTTCTACTTGATGGGCAAGGAATCATCCGTCCTTTCCCAAATGACAGCGTCTGTTGAAATCCATAATTTATCTGCTGACAGAAGGTGTGGGAGAAATGGAGAACGTTCTGGCTATTTGACATGTACTGGACCATTACCTGCCAATTACGCTTCATTGCGCTATGGAATGTGAGTCGATTTTCCCTTTCAGACGTGCGGACAAACGCTTAATTACGGTTGGCGAAATTCATTTTTCTGTACGTTTATACGAGTTTTGTTAACATGGAAAGATGAAACCTACCTGGACATACGGTATCATTAGCGTAGGGGAAGGAATTAGATGTCAACCATTTCGATAATGCTGACTTATATGGCCCATGTAACAGGGCATGAAAAAAGCAACCGCCTGCAATACGAGTGACGTTGAGCCAGCCTCAAGGAATATTAGTGATAGGTTGAGGGTAAGGTACTAATTCTAAGGCTACATTTGAAATCCATGTCGGATAAGACCAGGACAATTTAAGGGTCAATAAAGGGACTAGTATTAACTGCAGATTTAGGGTAAAGTTAAGATTAAAAATAGGGCAACAGTTTAGTTTTTTGTTAGGGTTGTTGGCTGGGTTAGAACACGGGAATATTTCGTCGTTTCCGGAATTCACTACAGGTCAGCTATTTTTACATTCCTATTTCCGTGTCCTCTTTAGGAGGCCATATAGATCAGTCCTTACAGTTTGTCAATATCGGAAACAAACAAAAACTCAAGAAGAAGACAAAACGGAATCCTGTATAATTAATAGACATTTCTGATGAGTAACCAATCTCATGAAATGTAAGCCGAAATTCTGAAATGCGTTTTCTAGTAGGAAGGATTACTTAGTGGAGATTTATAATATTGACTATCATGGGACATAGTCCTATAAGATTTCGGACTTGTCAGGATGTCGGCTTTTGAATGCATTTCTTCTTAACCTCCTATTGAAACAGCACTTGGTAAGGAATTACTACTTAGAAAGCATACATTTGTAACATTGATTTTTGATGTTCCTATCAATTCAAATATATTTTATGGGAAACACCCATTACAATATGCTTTATTTTGTTCTTTTGGTAGACAATAGTGTTGTCCTTACATTTTAAACCTGAAGAAACGGTACATTTAGGTCTCGAAAAGTTTCCAACGTCCGTATAACTCTGAGCCTGATCAGCCGTTGCATAAGCTTTTAGCCATTTCAGTTTTCAAGGTGCATGCTGTCGGCGTAAGGAGACTCATATATTCCTCTCTTATTTTAAGAGGATACCATGCAGAGTTCACAAAATATTGCAAAGGATGCGGATCATGTTCTACATTTCATGAGAATCATTGTCAAACGTGCATGTACAATGCTGTATGAATGGATAATGCACGGTCTTCAAAATCCCGTAATAAAAAACTTTTCCAAAAGCCAAATATACCCCTTTTTCAGGTATAAAATGCAAAGATACCGTAATGAGCAAAAGAAAGCATATTTTCATGCATATTTCCTGTAAAATATATTTAAATTTATAAGAACATCAAAATCAATGTTAATGCATGCTATCTAAGTTGTCATTTCTTACGCAGTACGATTTTCGTAGGAGGTAAAAATAAAAGTATTCACAATCCGACATCCTGGCGAGTCAGAAATATTACAGGACTATGTCGCTTGATAATTAATCTTGTAACGGTACCTAATTAATTTTTCCTAGTCAAAAAGGAATTTCCGAATTTCGGTCAACATTTCATGAGATCGGTCATTCACTGTATGTGTTGAGGGTGTCAGAAGGTGATGTCACTCGTTAATAAATGGCAAGCAAAGGTTTTTACTGAAAAGCCTATTGTGTGTTAATCGCCAGTAATCATTGCACCCGTTGTTTAAACTGAGTTTTTAATATCCTCTTTTTAAAAGGATGTTTGCTCTGATGCAAAGGCTTCAAGAGTTATAACATCATCGATATTTCGAAACAGTTTCTTTGCCTAGGGATTAATGCGGGGATGCAGACAACGTACAAGTGGATGGCGAACAAGGGGGTGCATAGAGATAATTGTGCGAATGTCCCCTCCCTAACATTTCATGCAGCAGAACGATACCTTTTCTACTGGTTAGCACAGGGTGCTTGGCGTAAGAGGTAGACTCAAACGTTCTAATTGCTGATACAAGAGATCCGCTGTTACGGTCTCACTTTGTTCCAGTGACTCGAAGTGATGAATCCCTACTACGCCCCGCCACATATACAGCAAAATTTGTCAAGGAAAACGCTCGATATCAGCATAGAAACTGGCATATAGCACAGGGAAATCCATTGTTGCTTGCATTCATTATTAACGTTAAAACAATTTCTCATTTTCAGAGACATTGCAATGAAGTAGTACCTTTCTCGCACATCTACTTAAAAATGCTTAAGATTGGGAAAGTTTGATCTTGGCTTTCTAATTAAAATTGGAATGGCACCTGAAATCATTTTTTAACAATTTAATCTATCCGTTTCCGTGCTTCTGAACACTAGACCATGCGACATATCGTTTCTCCGATAATTCTTCGATGGTCTGACTAAAATATGCCTTAACAGATGCGCTGAAATGGTCTTACACAGACTCATCGTTCATCACGGACGATGGGGATCGGAGAGGTCGAAATCCCCCGAACAGTGTTTCAGGAAAAAATGCCTGCACTTGTGAGAATTTAAAACCTTAAAATAAACACCATAGATAGTTATGGTGACAATTGTTGCGTTGGTTTGCTTGCGAAATGCATACGGCATACCCTGACGAACACGGTGCCTTCAGATTTCTTGTCCCCCGTTTCGATAATTCCAATCAAATAACAAAATCCATGTCAAGACTAAAGAAAATATACCTAGTTTTTTATTCAAAGGCACATAGATTAAAGAGTTCTCACGCAAGGACACTACTCAGACTTATAAGCACTAAATAAATAACGCTTAAATTTAAGACCACACATCGGCATTTATTTCGGGTGACGCTATTATTTTAACCATTATAATTCTCCTTCAGGGCAGAGGAGTTAGAACGTCCTGTTATTCACTCGAGCACATCGTACGGTGTACCTTCTTAAGAAAGCAAGAGCACATACTGTGGTTACTTGGTTGAAATCAATCCTAATGAGTAAGAAGGGTGAGTATAATCAATTCTGTTTTAAGGACGTTTATCTTATGAGGGACAAATGTAGCAGTTCAGTCCGACTGACTCAGTTAATTAAAGTAAGATATTCTTTCTGTTATTAAGTTCCCAATGACTACCGGAGCCTGCATTATTTGGTTTAAGGCGCCTGATAGCTAAAACTAGAGCATGGAACATTAAGCTTACGGACGCTCCGTTGCGTTGGAAGTTCCGTCATTTCCTTCTTTCCATATCCCTCCTTCTGAAACATGCGGACGAAAGCACTAAAACAAGATTTAATCGTTTTTTTACTTGCCCGCTGATAAAAGGAAGCCTTTGGATCAAGAAATCAACATTAGAAGGGCATATGTGCAGGTTATACATACTTGAGACTCGAATTGGGTTCCAGATATCCGCTGAATGTGTGGTTAGTACGCACCCCTTTCCCATATACGTCAGAGGTGGAGGGGATTTGCGGAATGCCCTGGAGAAAACCAGTTGCCAGCACTAGTAGATAAGCTATCCCAACGACTGTGATGATGGTTGCTGCTGTTTGTAATGCCTTCGTTCGCAGGAATCCTACAGGGCCGATCGGTTTGAAATAAGATAACAGAATTCTCACGCAAACACACTACTCGAACATTTTGCTGACGCAGGATTATTCAAAAACAATTTTGCGTCGAAATGTGCTAGCACTTTAACGGTCGGATTTTAGAAATCAAATATCTCTCAGGACTTGCCAGTCATCATCTATTAAGTTTTCATTTCCTATGTCGTTATTCTCTGATATCGTTTTTTGGAAACAGGACAAGGGAAGGCGCAATGTCTTCGCATTCTTTAACATTTAGTAGCCGTTTAGTCACTCATTTACATGGAATGAGTAAATCTGTTGTAAATAGAACAAACGTTTAATCTCGGTTTTTCGAATAAAATAGCCATTTTAATTTTATCTATGCATAGAAGACTCAGAAAGATGTCAATTGAATTGAACCTAAAATGATAAACAATTTGAATAATTTAATATCGGGGAACCTAAAAGGAGTAAAGCAACGCTTATTATGATATCAGAGTGAAATTTAACAATCGTATTCTCTTCCATAAGATCCCGGTAGATTAACATCTATGCTTCGGTCCTAAAGCTGGTTTTTCATTATTTCAGAGCGGCAATTTCGAATAAACACGTTGTCAATATATTCGGCAAAATTTATTTAGGAATCGGAATTCTAGGGATAATAACTTTAACAAAAAGCTTGAACGTGGAGGACATTTAACATTTGTTCGTATCGATAATTAATTTTCCCAAACATATTTGTTTTGGTAGTGGTGGAATACCACTGAGAATGAACCCACTGAGAATACCGAAAACATGTTTGGTCGGCACTAAATGCCGAGATCCTTTCGATACGCCTAAAATTTATGTCACAACTGCAAAATGCATCTTCAGATAAGAGTCGACCCATGTTCATTTGAGTCCGTTTGGTTTGACGGACGGGTTCTAACCAAATAATTGTGAGGTTTGTATGCATTCAACTCAACATTATTGCTCTCTTTTCCAGAGGAATACCGATCCCTTAGTGAACAAATTCAATAGCTAATCTTTGTGTCTGCGAAATGAACAAATAATGCGTCTAAGTCGGCGATATAAGAGTTAAGACGCGGTTACCAATGCCTGGCACACATTGTTGGGACCAGACCGCGTGTGGTATGCGTGGGAGGCGGACCGCTAAGGGCTGTCAACCACTTCGACCTGGCCCGCCTTTGACCATCTTGACGTTGTCTGGCCGTCGGCGTGAGGTGGGTAGAGGATCCGGGAGTGGAATGGACGCTGTCGCCATAGGTGTGCCACACTTTGAGCTAATTTTCGCTCCCGTTGTCGGTGCTCTGCCGTCTCTGTGCGGCATCCCGTGGTCATCGCCGCTCGTGAAATTCGAACGGTCAGATCACTCACAATTTTGTGCTTACCCTTCAGCTGACTTAGGCGCCACCGTTCGGCCCAACTTTAGCCTTGGACGTAGATGAGACTTAATTTGACTGGTTTGTAACGCTGATGAGCGCGGGACTGGCAGACGGGCGTTTAAGCTGCAGGTGGAATACAACCTCACAAAATATCGCTGTTCCACTAGAAGTTCGAAGTACTTCGGCTGGTTGTTAGTAAAGAGCAAGAGGTCCATTGGTGATGGTGGATGTAGTCCTACAGCACAGACCACAACTAACTGAAACACAAAAGTGTGGTTGCATTTTCGGAGATCGGATCATTAACTGGACGCTCAGTTTTGCCCCATAATCATGCAAGGCATCTGGGGGCCAAGGGCATTTGAAATGCTGCTTCTCTCAATATTTTCTTGCATGCTTGCCTTACTTCATATGCCCTATGCCTGCAACTGGCACAGCACTTATAATCCATAAGTTGGGGACCTATGAAACTTGCATTTTACCTTAAAATAGAGAGACCAGGTGCAGATGAACCACTGACTGAATATTGCAAGGTAAACAACTAGTTTCTTGGTCAAACGTAATTAACAAAGATATTTTGGTTAATGTTTTCCGTGTGCTCAAAATTAGTGTCGCAGACCACGTAATATATTTTCAAAAAAAGAGTTTTCCATATGCGCTTTGGTCCGTTAGGTGTATCGGAGTGGTCCCAACCAAATATGTGTGAGAGTTCTATGCACGCAACTTGACAATTCTATTTTGGCAGTTAGTAAAATGCGGATTTTTACTTCATCATTTGAATAGGTATTACTTTTCTGTGCAAAATTATTAAATTATGGCACGTATATATTTCTTGATATAACCAATGCCTTAACTTTACACGACACCTGCCAGCCACAAATTGGGACCTGAAGAACTTGCATTTTACATTATAAAAGAGAAGCGTTAGGATGAATGTACTTTTTGACAAGTGTCATGGCTTTTAACACTTATCTGCTGACGACAACGTGGCTTAAGACTCAATGTCTGCTCATCATACAGCATACATCGGCACATGCTGGCTTTATGTTCACGCACATATTATTTAGATGTGTAAGGATGCTTATGGCGTGCAAGATAAGATTTTTTCACTCGCACCCATGCCATGCCCATCTAATTCCAATGGGATCGTCGAACTCATTTCCGTCCAATATTCATAGACATCTGATATGTCTGATCCAGGTTTATTTCCACCTCTTCTCATAGGGTTCAGTTTATTTGTGTCATAGTTTGAATCAACAATATTTGTTGTCATTAAACTGTCTCCAGAAGCTTTGTAAGCAGGTTCAGAGACACCGGAACCTGTTTTAACAGAAAAGTTAATGAATTATGCTAAATAATTTAACCAAGTGGCTAATAGCATTGTGAGGAATAAATCATCTAAATGCCACTGGCTATTTTTATCGATAAGTTGCCGCAGGAAGATGCTTGATATCAACTTCGGCCTGCATTGAATGCGAAGGCTATGGTAATATGCTCAACCCCAACATCACTTGGCGCACAAATACTGTTAAACAAGGAGACTTACCGTTCTCATTTGATTCGAGTGGGGCTTCAGGACCATCCCCAACCAAATCACCATGGGAAGTGGGTACGACTGCGGATCTTGTGTTTTCGTTTGATCCAACGGAATCCCGTTTGTCTGCGTCCTCATCTGAATGGATGATTTTTACATCAGCTGCATTGCCGTCTGTGGTGCTGAGACCAGGCGCAGATGAAGCAGGGGCTACATAATGCAACGTAAACAACTAATTACTAGGCAAAGCGTAATTGGCAAATATATTTTGCGTATACTTTGGCCGCCGTCTTCCGTGGGTCAGGCCCGATTTACTCTGTCGCAATCGGCCTATAGTAAATCTCGCACCATGTTTGCGCAACGTTATTATATTTATTGAATTTTTTGGAATTTAGATGCAGTTGGCATACGTCTAGGGAATATTTACGGTTATCCGAAAAGAAAACGGGCCTGTGGCGTATTGGTAGAACATTCGGCTTAAGTATCTCGACTACCGAAAATGCTCAAATATGAAACTCAGCTTTACTAACATAGTAGCATGCATGACGGGGGGACAGAGTGTAATACAGAATGGTTGTCTCAGTCCATTTGGACGAAATCGACATCTCCTTCCAGGTGTGTAGTTGTCATGACGCGACTGTCTGTAAATGCATTAAGTCAGACTGATAGTTAAACATAACTAAAACACATTGTAACCTGAGCGGTCGACGTCTTTCTCGAGACCAAGTTATATTACTTAAAACTGCAGTTGGTTTTATTATTTCAATTAACGTCGCCGGCTATTCATTGGGGGTGTTAATCTGTGCATTTGCTCGGTTCCCCACCCAAGACGTACAGTAGATGTGCCAACTCATAAAATGTTAACCGAAATTCTGAGATGCGTTTTCGACTTGAAAATATTGCTTAAGTTGGCAGTAATGCTAATCATCATACAACATAATCCAATGATAATTCATTTACTTCACGATGTTGACGTTTGAACGAACTTTATTCCGACCGCCTGCAAAAAGTACACTGTTTAAACAGCGACTAAGTGGTTATCTTTAATTTTTCTCATTGATTTTCGATGCCCTTATAAATTGGAATGTATCCTATAGAACACATATGTAAAAGTATTCATTCTTCTATTCATTTGGTAGAACATCACGTCTTCTTATAGATTGCATGCTCTTAGGAAGGGCATAATTCGGTTTTAGATAGTTTTTATTTATGTGATTTTCTAAGATCGTGAAATGCTTCTTCATAAAACATCGTTCATTTTGCATTTACAAATGTTATTTTTAAGAATTAGCAATATGGCTCAAACCAACTACGAAATTGTGTGAACGCCATATGGTCCCTTTTAATACCGAATACAAAAGCATGAAATTCCGTACAAGGAAAGCAGCAGTTTAAAGTTACCAAACACTGAATGCAAATGTAATGGCTTGTTGTGTTCAAAATAATTCGGCAATTAAATCGGTTTTTTAACCATGTACGAACGGCCATTTTACGGTATATAAAATTTCCATAATTTAAAACTTGTTTAAAACAGATTTATGTACCTCCTTCGAGAATAACATTAGAAAACGTAGTAATTTTCTACCAAGTGAGTAGAGGAATGAATATTTGTATGCATGCTTCCTGTTAAATATAATTGAATGTATAATGACATCTAGAATCGATGGGAAAATTCATACTACATACGTAGTCATTTTTATGGAGTGCAGTTCTTGCAGGCGATTTTGAAGAGGTTCCTACAAAAGCCAGCATCGTAAAGCAGCTGAATTATTATGGGATTCTGCTGCTCAATGATCGATATTATACACCTACATTAGTTATCTTTTTGATTCATAAACATTTCAGAATTTCGGGTAATATTTCATCAGCTAGCACACCTACTCGTATTGTATCGTACCTATAGATGGAATACTCGCTTACGCCTCAGCGTATGGTCATCATATTTTCCCCTTGTTTTGGAACGTTTTGGTTCTTCGGCCAAGTGGCAAACCACTGAATTTCATTTCTTTTCTTTCTGGTGAGGTTGGAATTGTCTGACTTAATTACAGATCGAGCTTATGTACTCTCCAACAAATTTGGGTTTTCACTCATCCTATTAAATATTATTCTCAATCATATGGGAAGAACTGAATGCCGTTTTCAAGCCTATGATTTAATCGCAGTGTAAAATTGCCCACCGGCGCAAACGAACGCAAGCTGACGATTAATTCGAATGCAAGCCAGCATGTTCATCAGACGGTAAAACTTTTATCATTGGAGCGAAGTCCGCAACCAGTTTGACGCCGCCGGGACCTCCAAATATCGTCTGACAAAACGTTACATCGCAAGATCATGAACAATCAGAGAGCACAAAAGTCAGCTTTTATACTGCGTTGTGCATGAAATGCACAGTAAATATGTATACCTTGCTCAGCCGATTCCATTGCCTCCACTAACTTGTTTCCAATGAAATCATCCTGTAATCTGAGTGTACACATCTTTGTTTCATTTTCTTTTGTCTCAGCGGAACCCTGGTTATTTATTTGTCATATGGATTTGTATTTAAATCTTCAAAAAATTTAGTTACAGAAGTGCTGAGTCCAGATACATACTCGCTGGAACCTGAGTTGTAAAAAACTGAAACTATCGGTTTATTCAATTCATCAACAGCAAGAAAGTATTATTTTAACTGTCATTGTGAAGTTTTGCTGCGCTAAATAAATCTAACTTAGAATGAGGACATAGTTAACTCCTCGGAAGAAAGTTGTGATGCAGGAAATCTCTGAAAGAACCGATGTGCATGTATACATAATGTGCAATCTGGCCTCTGACCTTAGTCCAAAGGCCGTTAATGTGTTATCTTCCAAATGCATGACTCGTAACCAGCGGAAGGTGTGCAAGTTTGATTGGAATAAACTGTACCAAAGTGAATAGAAATCTACACATCTTGTCTAGGTACACAGTCTTTCGACCCTCGTTAAAAAATCAGGCAAAAGCTATCTTACAGCCTTCTCGAAAACTAAAAGTTTAACTGGCATTTTGTGATTTGACAGCATCAAAAGCATTTCGGATGACTGACTTTCCTTTAATATAGTGGATGTTATTTCTGTTTCTGCAAGTCTTCACTTAAACTTTCTCTAAGTATTCATTTTTTATCGAACAAGTTACCGCTCTCCATATGGGTGAGTTCCAAAAAGCTCGCACTTACATTTTCAAAAAACGCAATGTGGACTACGCCATAACACGTAGTATAAAAGGGTAGCTTGTGCCTCAGTGTTTTAGCATAACAATCTACAATGTGCAAAGTACGCAGTAGTATCTACATTTGACCTTTCGCGCACCCAATCCAAATGCGGATGTTGGAGAATTGTTTCTTGATCGTAGGGTCAGAAACCATTACATTGCCATACGCAGTATCATTAGTAGGGCCTGAATCTTCTGGTCATATACTAAATAATAGTCAAATCTTGGTCAAAGAGTTTAGCGTTAAAGTGGCTTTAACAATTTTTACTTTATTCATTTGCCACCAGAATCGGCAATCGCTTTCCAATCCGCTTTTCGATAAAGGTAATACGGTGCTTGATTTGGTGATCATGAAACTGATATAAGGAAGAGTGAAAACAGCACAGTTCACTGCAATAAGAAACATCTCACCCTATCACCGACTGATTTAAGCCAACTCTTGAAATCTTAGGATCTTCCGAAGTTTTAACTTTAGCTGAAATTTCTCAGAGCAGTTATGTGGATTTGGATTACAAATATTTAGCAAAATGTCATATTCTGCTCATTCCGTCCCAGTGATACCTTTGTATTAGTTTCATATGGTTCAGTGGGATCGCCGTTATCTAATTCGTCATTTGAATCGGTAGTCACCACTTCGGCAGGGTGATCCACAGAGGCAACTAGCCTATATTTCGGAACGATGTACACTACTTGTCAACTACTGAGTGAAAAAGGAGCAAATATTTTACCGACGTTGAGCAAAATATTTTTGTGCAAAGTCTCCACACACCCGGCGCACATTTCGTGATCTATCAAAGAGGATAAGCACAAGGACAAATTTTGTTTACGTAAGAAACTGTTGGCGAAGAGGCTTTCTAGCAAAGCTGATTTTAAGGCTCAGCTTGAATGTCATGTGACATTTAACACAAGTTTACTGGGTTATAATCGATCCATCGCCCCATTCATGACTAAATACATGCGGCAAATTTTGGATTTCGCACTATGAAGTCTGCCAACTTACCATTCATATCTGACAGACGGTAGTTAGAATCCATCACTTTATCACTATTATTATTACTTGATTCAAACTGTTGTTAATCGCAAAATTCGTTAATGCCCATGCGTACTACAAACGATCGTAGGAATCGGGTGTGTTTTGGGAATCGGCAAAACGTTAGCCCATACGTAGTTAGTTGAACAGATAACCCACTCAAAGATTTCCAAAATTAAAAACGATAAATTCGACAGCTTCATTTGCTTTTGCCTGAAAAAAATATTCAGTAAGGAGTCATACCCACTTCATTTGACACGTGTTGGATTTTGAACGCGGTACGATCAATCACCATGGACGTCGGTTACGCTTAACACTGTTCATTTTGTCGTGTCTCAATGGAGTTTCTCTTATCTACTTTTTCCTAATTGAATCAACAACCTCCTCGTTAAAAGGTAGGCGGTGAAGACGGCACATATGTCTAGGCTGCACTTTGAATGTTGAAAAACCGCAAACGACAGATCGGTAAATTAAGTAAATGTAGCAAACACCTTTTTTATATCAGACATGAGTTTCCAAGTGACGACATTCACGTTGCCCGGTAAAAGCGGTATGTGTTAGTTATTTCGTCTGCCCTTAGTTAGCAGAAGGGAAAACTTTAGACGGGACAGCGATTTGTTTTTGGCATTCGCTTGGCAAGATTCAATTTAAACAATATCCTACTCATGGGTTGCGGTTCGCATAGGACGGTTTTCACAGAGAAAATACTATGGTCAGCGGATTTTTCGTACGTTACCCGCTTATTGAAAATATGCGATCACATTGGTATTACCCACGGGAAATTCTGGCCAAGATTTAATCGCTCAAGGTCCAACTGGTCACCATAACCATAAGTCAACCATCTAACCATCTAGACACGCTCGTTACATAAATTCAAAATCGGCGCCACGAATACCCATTAGCACAGCCGAAATCCCTGGCAAGTGCAATTCCTCAAACTTTTTTCGAGAGCAAATGAGCTTCTTTCAAAAAATGAAAAAATGCAACAGTGCACGAAAAATATTACACGCAGATTCTGCCACATTGTGGACTTCTCGGAGTGTGCGCACAATCGTTCATCCACACGAGGTCCATACAGTTGCCGAAAAATTGAAAGGGGCAGCTTGTCATTGTAATACCGAATCGATTGGAGTAAACGAAGGGGCATCTGCCCAACGTGTTTCCCCCCTACGCCTGCATACTCCTGGAATTTGAGCTCACTCTGTTTGCACTGGCAATTTTTCGTGATGCAGGCATGGTCTCTCTTAAAAAGCGCCAGTGGAATACTCAACCTACTAACGGTGAAATATGGCGCAGGTGTGAGAGTTTTGTAGCATAACTTGGTGTCTGTCAGGGCGATGATGTGGCGTGTCCAGTCCACTTTGGAATAATAATGAAGAAGTGATGGTCGGCAAATTTAGTTTGCTAGGTTGTGGACTTCATTTAGCTAAGACTTGAGGCCTTTTTTAGGTTGGAGCTAATCGGTGGAAACAAAAACAACTCCCATTTGCTCGTGCAAGTGGATCCGTTTCTCGAGAGGAGGGGGGGTAAGGAATGGCGAATAATTCACAAATCCACCCTCTGTGCACAAAACTTGCAGTTTGTAGGGAATCGGCTCAAGGTTCTCCATTCTTACACTGGTCAGCATACCAAATGTGCAAAGCTTACAATTCGAGCACATCTTACACTTTATACCATTCCGCTCGTTTATTTACAAGTTTACAAGTGCAATTTAAAACGTTCGAAGGTGACGTTTGATAACATTCAGTGGATACACGCAGTCAAGAATTCAAATATACTCGGTATGTATCTATGTGCGATAAAATGTAGCACATTTTTAGAAGCAGAGGACAAGGGAAGATCAATCATACTTAACAGTGAAAATAATATTTGGCTTTGAATTAATGGCCTTATTTTAGCGCTGAAAAGTGTGTAGAAAAGTTTGGAATATGTAATGAATTACAACTAAACAACAATAACCGATCCGTTATAAGATTGTTTATCTTCTTTGTACACAAATAAAACAACCAAATTGGCAGGTAGGCTGACATATTGAATCCTAACTTCTTGAGCTAAACATGTTTTAGTAATTCATGCTGAGGTTGGTTATCAGTAATATTTGCAGATAAGCGGTGAAACATTTTGTTCATTGCGTTAAACACTGAAAGCCACTTTGGTTATTTCAAAAAAAGGCGTTTTCGCGACATTCAATTCTACATCTTTCAGCCAAATGTCTCCGAAAACAGTATTGTCCTCTCTTAGCAAAACGGGACTTCTGAACTAAACAATTCACCTAAGTTAACTAATTATAGTTCTGAATTGACGGTATATAGGGAAAGGACGATGCCTACAGAGCGCACCCAAACTCGGGAATCAGTGACTAAAATATTCCGTTTTCGCATCCTCTCAGAATGTACTATTATAAGCATATCAGTAATATTTCCGATCCCGAGTAGAATTCCCGTACAGTAGAGGCATGGCGTCAAACTTGTCGACTCGTAAATACATTATGCATTTAGTAACAATCGTTTTAAACAATAAACTGGACCTGTATAAATAAAAAGACTATCAAACAGATAGAATTTACACATAGCCTATTTCGTGTCAACCTGGTCTTTCACAAAAGATAACCGATGGTAACAAATGTCTAGGCAGTGTTTCAATAGCTGTATCTTTTTAAATTGAGTCCCTTTTGGCTTTTTCAAAGGTTACCGAAATTAACCATCTAGTCTTCCAAAAGGAAATTTGCCCAACCACCGATATATTTGACACTCATGTAGGATTGTTATAAAAGAAATTACTTGCAGATTTTCCTCAGCCGTCATAGACAGTACTGAGACAATAAGAAGACAGTTGCAGTGACTTACCCTGCAATGTTGGTCCTAACAGCAGCAGAAGCCAACACAGGAGAACCATTTTCCACCTGACATGGAAATTACACAGACAGTCCCCACCGACTTTCATATTATCTGCGTTACAATATTTCTCTTTTCAACTGCTGCCAAGAGCCAAAATGTTATTTTCGGCGTCTGTAGCGGTAGATTGCTGGAGGGCTATCCGGATGCGGAAATAGTAGTCATGTGTTTACATCAAAAACCCTAATTCTTATAGGTGGAGAGGGCGACCCACACAAAGATGCTCATTCATTTGCAATCGACATACAAATTCTCCTTATTTAATTGGCCAGTAGAACACTGTGAGTGCAAAGCAAAATATTTTGTCTGTACAACCTTAGCGTCATTAGTCCAGAAGTCACATAACATTAGCCTTGATGGCGTAACCTGCGAATTTCCGAAACCGCTGTAATATGGAGGAGAAAGTCACCCATAAGCAAAGGAACTATTTTTTTTAATTCAATACTTACAACGTCTTTCTGGTATTGTTTCACCTAACAAAATAATTTCTGTGTTGTATGCGGATGAAATTCGATGCAATTTAAGGAATGTCTTACGTGCAGGACGAAACAACACAAAGGAGGCAATAAGTGTTTGGAACTCAAACTGCAAAATGCCGGACTAGAATGTTTGGAACAAATCTTGAGGGCATTATGCTGTCATGCCCGTAAACTGCATGTCCTTTAATCGGTTTCCTGAGAAAACGCGATACTTTGGCATAGTCATCTTGCTTTAGATTTAAAACGTTTTACCACAGAGCATCCGTCGTGCTATAAACAAAAAACTAAACTTTCTCTTTATTGCAACTTACTTGGGAAGTAAAATCAGGCACGAATGGTACTGTCTGGTAACAAAGAGCCTTTGTTAATGAAAATGGCGCAGAGAATGGGTCTATAGTGTTCCGTCAAGCCACAAAGTCACTTATGGCCAAATCAGCGAAAGTTTGTGCGCTAGAACTAGCTTGAAACAAGACGCGTAGAGATGTGTAGGCTGTTACGTACTTGCCGTAACGCATAGCTCTTGGTCCGGCGTACAACTTACCGCGATCGAAACCATAAATGAGAATTAAACAGCGATGGTGAAAAGCGCGAGTCTATTGCTGAGTTCCTAACACCAAAATCTTAAGATAAAGGGTAGATATAGAATGTTTAAGGACTTCCTGCATTTGAGCCAATCAGATCATGTTCCTAACCTCCAAGCGTACGGAGGATGCGAGCGTAAATCTTCCTGACGATATTGTGCAGCGGGATTCCTTTCATATTATCTACAGCTTGCCATTTCACTTTCCTTGAACTACCGAGTAATTCGTTCTAGAGGTCGCGCCGCTTGGAGTAGCGTTGCAAGTTCGTCATCGGCCGGTGCCGCTGTGCTAGTAAACTTCGATCGCTATCACGACGGATCCCGGTGCTTCCCCATCGCAGAGTTCGCGTACAGTCCAGACGAAAGGTCTGAGTCGTTGTCCGTTTCTGGTTGGGGGAGGCGGTGGATGGTGACGTTGGAAATCGTTGATGGATTAGTTATGGCACCTTTGAACTACTCGTCTCAGCGCTTAAAAATGGGCAATTTCTCCGTCAAGGGTGTTGTTACGTCAGGGCTGAGAAGCAAAGCAGTTACTTCGGCTGCGAAGTCGTTCTTGATTTTTTTGCGGTCCGCGGGATCCTGGACGCGAATATTATCTAGCAGTTTTCTATATCGGATACTAATATATTCTTCCATCTCTGAGACTTGAATTCCACTTAAATTTGTAATTTCGTATCCAATTTGTGCCCATGTCGAGCAAATATAGGCATTTACTATACATGTCCCCTCCTTGAATGGTGTTCTAGGGATCGGTAACGGGACAGTTACAGACTTCGTGGGGACCTGCCTTCTGCATATAGACGTTTGTGTCTATGCCAGTGCTGTACCCACTGGTGGTAATCAGTATGCCCGTATTCGAAGCAAAGGATTGGGGACCGTGTGGAACCTCGTAGCAGTTGTTAATCACGTCGCCATAACTTTCCACTGCAGGCCCTAGATGCTGAGGAATATGGTGAATTGCTATTCATGCAATAGGCGTCTTCATCGGATAAGGCGTTCGTTGATCTATTTGGGGGAAGTTAGTCAAGTCATCGATGATGAACTATCTGAAAATAAAAATGACTCGAGTATGACAACGCAATAGCGGTTGGAAACTTTGCCAATTAAATTCCGTTTTTTTATCCATCTACGCTGTTCATTCAGACTAGGGAATAGCGATTGGGATTGACTCTGTTTAGCGTAAAATTTTTTAATTTTTTCTAACACATTTTGTAAAGTAGGACAAAGGGTTTTTGTTCATGACGTCGTTTCTACTTTAATTGATGATTGATATAATGCGAAATCAGGGTAGATTTTGCGGTTACGGAGAAAACTCACAAGCCCGCCGTCTTAATAAATAATGTTGACTGGTTAAATTAAAATTGCACGACCTATACAAAATGAAGGTTAATGAAAACTTCTAGAATGCATTACCCTTACAGATGCGTGCGCTTAAACATCCCCAGTACAGTGCGGGACCGATTTCGTGAAGTGTTGGCCGAAATTTTGAAATGCTTCTCCGTTTAGGAAGGTTTACTTAGCTGGGGTTGTAATATTGATTTTCATGCACATAATCTCATAGTATTTCCGACTCCACAGGATGTCGGCTTTTGAATGGTTGACTTATCGACCTCCTGCAGAAAGCACGCTTAGCAAAAATGACTACTCACTAAACATGCACTTTTCGCACTGATTTCCGATGATCTTATAAATTCAAATGCATTTAATAGACAACATTCATGAAATATGTTCTCCTGTAGTCCTTTGTAGAAAATCAAATTGTCTGGATATTTTACGCTCAGAGAAGTTGTATATTAAGGTTTTGAAAAGTTTCTCAATTCCCGACTAATTTCGGAATTGATCGGCCATTGCAATAGCGTTTAACGATTTCATTTTACAAGCTTTATGCTTTCAGCGCAAAGAAAATAATATAATCTTTTATCGCGTTAAGGAGATCCCATAAAGAGTTCATAAAGTTTTGTAATGCATGCTGACTAGGCCATACATTTCATAATGAACATTGGCAAACATACATGTTCCGTCCAGTATATATGGAAATGACAGGCTCTGAAAAATCGCTTAATCAGTAACCTCTTTGAAATAAAAAGATAGCCTTCTTAGGGTGTAAATGTAGAGATAATGTTATTTTCTTCCAAATGATTAATAAAGCGTGTTTTCTGTACGTTTTTTATATAATATATTTAAATTTATAAGATCATCGCAAATCAGTGCGAAAAGTGCCTGTTTTGTGTGTTGTCATTTTTTGTTAAGTGTGGTTTCTGCAGGAGGTCGATAGGGCGATCATTCAAAAACCGACATTTTGGCTAGTCCGAAATACCATGAGGTTCTGCTGCATGAGAATCAATATACCAACCCTATCTGAGTGAACCTTCCTAATCGAAAAAAGCATTTCAGGATTTCGACCAACATTTTGTAAGATCGGTCACTCGCTGTACATTACCGTCACAGATGCGGGCGCCGAAACCTATCTTTCCCCTGAAGAACATACTCTGGGCATTTCCCATTGCCCTGTTTCCCGTGGCTACTTATAAGTTTCTCCTCTAGTTGTCGCCTTCTGTGTTCGATGATATTCAAAAAGGAAATTCAGACAAAATAACGCAGACAGTGCTCGGTCAACAGAGCAATACATGCAAGCTCCTACAAGCGTCAATTTTAAAATAAGGGCAATGGCTCGCACAGAATGCTGCAGTTTGCCATTTCCTTTTATATTAATGCTACGTCTATATTACCGCGAAAAGCACCCGCTAACTCTTAAGAAGCTTGACTACTTTGTGCGGAATTTTTGACAATAACAAGTACTCAGTTATATTTATTTTGTACAGAGCTTTGCAGTGAAATATACAGCCAACTGAGTATCCCCTTGTTTGCCTAGTACGTTTCGGGGTAGAAAAATGATTAACCTGGTTTTTTTCATGACTTATTTTTTACTTGCATTCCTATGTTTTATTGTCATATTTAAAGCTGGAAACCAATTTTCGCGCTTCAGTGATCTGGGAATTTACTCGAGGCGCTCGATAAAAGAGACGTTCAATCGGCAACGCGCGGATGTCTGCATGCCTTTTGGAGGCTTATTGAGGAGTTTGGAAGGGTAATCTATCAAAATATTTTCTTACGTGCATGCCAAACTGGACTCTGTTTCTAGCGATGTATGGTTTGGATGAGACTGCTTGGTTTATAACCAAAACCAGGCATACATATCTTGGTGCCAAATTGTTGCACCTGTGTTTTTTAGACGGCAGAGAAAGGCGCGAAGACCACTGCGCCGATCAACCTGAGAAATAAGAAAAATGGCTTTCAATGAACTATACAGTTTTGCAGAAATAGCCTTCATCGATTACCCGGTAACAGCGACGCGCGAGCCTTTGAGGATCGTAACTGGTTTGTCTGCCATTTTTATGACACATCGACATCCTCACTTTCGGTTATTTGGCACTGCAGTGTAGTTCTATCGCATTTATTCCCAAAACCCAAAAGTGGCAATTAAGGAAAAATGGAAAAATATACCGCTAAACAGAGTTCCTAATATTATTCATTTTGCTACAAAACAGTATTTGCTGCAGGTGACCAGTCCGTGGTGACGAGCATGTGTGGAGCCTTGGCTTCACATTTGGCCTTCTTGTACAATCTTGATTACTACAACATTATGCATAATAAAAATTTGAATGTCACGACTTAAAAGAAATTCGTAAGGCCAGTCAAGGGTAACTATTTCACGTAAAGTATTGTTTTGAGCAACTATGCATTGTTCTAAACTTGCAACATTACGGACACGGAGGATGGCCATATGTGCAGGAGTACAGATTGACCAATCTGCTAATCACTAACTGCAAATTGTAGGCTTTTGATCGCACTCTGATCGGGGCTCTCAGTTAAATATTTGGTTGCCGTTTAGCCTATCTTCTATATTCGGATGGATGTACGACGACAAGTGTTGCATTATTGGAACACCATTTTGCATCAGATGCGATGACGGATTTCAGAAAAAGTGTAGACGAAACAGCCAGCTACCAGAAAAGGGTATCCAAAGTCAACTGCCACAAAATTATACATTTTTGAATACGAAACACAGAGTAAATTGCTCGTGAGTTTTTTATAGCGAAGCAGACAATACACATATCGCGACTTAAAGTCTACTAACTCAGACTGTTTGGGTTAAATTCTTCCAAGTAAGATATTGCTTTTGGCAAACTTTATACTTTTTAAAACTGCTAGAATTAGGAACACAAGAAAAAGCCCAAAATTACGCATTATGGACTATGTCCTCTCCCACTCTCTAGTTGAGAATTTGAGGTTCGCGGGTGTAAATAAAAATGTAGGCGTTCTTTCAGAAGACTTGCATTTTTGAGCAAACATCCGATGTAAATCGGGGTATATTGGCAACCGCAATTCTCAACATAAATAATTTTTAACGAACAGAGGGGCTAATGCTTGAGGTTATGGCAAATGTACAGCATGGCGCAGCTATCAGAATGGAAGCCGCAATCCTTATTGCTGTCTCTCTATGCATTTTCATAGTAAAAAACTCTCTGTGAATCACGCACTGAAGTCCAGAAATGAAATTCTTTAGACGCTTCCAGACAATGCACTAGCAATTATGCATCCTTACCTCTTTCGTTTAGAATGTTCTATTCTGTGCACCTATCTTTTTATATAAGTTTTACCTAGGGCTCTGTAAAATTGAGACATTTGCTACAAGGGACGACGATTTTTAATATTGTCCTTAAGGTTGTTGATTTGCCATGTATGAAATTTAAGCATGCAATTCAAGAGGAACAACGTCGGTAGGTGGCCAAAGTACTTCGAGTATGACAAGTTGTTACTGTACTTCACGGCATGAATATACAAAATTTACGTCATAACACCCAATGTTTCTTATAGTACGTGACATCTCTCATGAAACCTGATAATGGAAACCGATTCGAGAATTTCTGTTCGTGCATAGCATTGCGCATTTTGTTCGCTCATCCACTTCTCTTTCTTCTGCGGTAATTGTGTTTACGTAATTATATCACATCAAATATTACTAACTTTTAGCGAAAATGGACGTCGCAATATATTCACGAAATTTCCTAACTCAAACGATTCAAGACTACCACGAACGCCTGGAAAACTGTTTTGGAATCTACACTCAGAATGCAGACAGTTGACAATCCGTCATATATGAAATCACACTAATTATTAAACGATATTTATACGTAAACTTCACAAAAACACTATTATCAGACGTTTTTCATTCCTAATTTTATATTTATTAAGTTCTTCGTATGCATCGAAAACGAAGTTTACTAAACTGGAGCAATGTCCGACATTTTCGGGCTCTTGCGCTTTTCTAAAATCCGGCATTTTTAAACGCCACACTGCCTTTAATATGACTTTTATGTTTTTAACTGTTTTAAACTTTTGCTAAATTAGCATAAACACTGGACTCATGAGATGGCGTTGGTTTGTGACTGATTGGCAATCATTCGTAAATTTCGACACATTTCATGAGTTAGGTAACGTACCGTATTTATAACTGGCATTACGAGGAAAAATACTTGATTATGCTATAATTAGAAACGTATATAAAAATGAAACCTCACCGGGACCACGGCTCCTTCAAGAGGTCCAGCTAAATGTTTTACCTATTTACGAAATAAAAAACTACCCAAGAACAGTTGACATGAAGTTTCCCCTTGTGCTTATATTTTTAAGGTACTTCGTAACAAACATCGATATTGTGGTGGCCCAAAAACGCAAAATAATTTTACTCGCCTAACGTGTCCGCTTTGATATGAGAATGCGGTGGCGCCGAACTGTTTTTTAAATTTAGATTTTGCACAAATTTATTTTTCTGGATAGTGAATAGTATGAAAATTGGGCTGCAATCACCACAAAAGTCTTCAGACGTACCAATAAATTGTGCCACATGGAACTTGAATTCCTATTTCTAGGACAACGACTCTTCTAGCATTTAAATGACGTGTACATGAGGTACGCCCACATAAGGGAAGCGCCATAATCTCCAATAGATTATGATTCTCTGTTTTCATATAAATTTTTTTGACACTCTTGAGTAGTGAATGCATTTATAGTGTAGTGTGTGCAACAGATTACTCTATAACGAGACATTTTTTACATTTAATCCAAGTAGCGCTGATGCACTTACTTATCTTTATTCCTCAAATGTTCTATATATCATTAGGATGCTTTACCATTTAATGTCGCCCATCGAAAACTCTCCAATTTAAAAACTTCCACAGCGTCCCTTAATTATGCACAAATTTGTGAACCGAGGCTACGCTTCAGCCATCGCATGCTTTTTTTGAACCCAACGATCACTAAGAAGTTCAGCTTGCAGATTGCACTGACCTGCATGATTTTCTGAAGATGTATTCAAAATTCCGAGAGGTAGTCAGTCAAAATATTTTTCTCTCACGAATCAAACTTAATTTTGCTGGAGGGACGCTTACTGATCACGTTATGGAACTAACTCATTCTATAGTTCCTCTGGCTGTTCTCTGGAGCCCTGACATCAACCGAAAAGCGGTTCGTAATATATACAAAACGTTTTATCGACAAAGATAAGGGAGGCCGGAATGCCCATTTCTGGCTTACTAACCGTCGTCAGCCAGTCATGCCCAACCCCGAGATGTGCAAACCACAAAGCCTCGATCCTGCTACTTGTTAGTTAGAAGTTCAGCGACCATGCCAGTGAGCCAAAGGCTCATTGTTCTGTCCGTTGCGATCAGACGAATGCAATGGCAGAAGCGCGCTCCCCGATCGAGCCACGGTGTTCACTCGTTCCGTTAGGCCTTTGCGTTCCCTATCGAGTCCAGCCAGCAGCCGCACAGCGGCGATTTATTGTACGGGTAAAATTGGCTGAAATGTAGCAGGAGTGTGACTTACATGTCTTGATGTAGTGTGCCTGCGAGGTATATATGGAAACCAGGATTGGATTAACGGCCTAAGTGATAACGTATTTTTGCCTAGAGTAGATGTGCTAACTCGTGAAATGTTAACCGAAATTCTGAAATGCGATTTCGATACGGAAAGATTACTTAAGTGGGCTGGTAAGATTAAGTACCGTACAGTACAATCCCGAGATATTTCAGTTAATTCGGGATGTCAGCTTTTGAATAAACCTATTTCTGCAGCCAGCAAATCGACACTGTAAAATAATTACTCAATTTATATTAATTCTCCTTATTGATTGTCGATGTCCATATAAATTCAAATGTATTCCACGGTAAATATGCATTTAAATATTCATTCTTTTGTTTATTTGGAGGGAAGTTACGTCTTAATCAGATTCTATGCTTGAAATAAGGCTACAATTTGGTTTTAAAAAGTATCTAATTTTGAAATTGTCTTAAGACCGTGAGATGGCCGTTCATAAAACATCGTTTCTGTACATTATGTGATGTTATCTGTATAGTTTAATATGTGCCTCAAATCCACTGCTACATTTTTCAGACCCCAACATGAAACTTTACTGTCAAAAAGTGAGGGTTCCAAACAAACGTCAACAAAGTATATGCTTTTGATCAATTAGAAAACTTTCCTCATAAGCTGCCTTTTAAGCTGTGACGTGATACTGTCTTCCGTTGAATGTCCGTGTAATGTTATGTTTGCATGGTAAAGCCAAGACAACTTTGACACTTTTGGCCATTTCACCTCGCTAGGACTGCTGATTTTTATAATTTACAAACGTAAGAAAACGCATTTCTATTGATATTGCGGTAATTTCCCATTTTGTTTGCTTAACTGCGGGCACCGTTCTACAACTATATGGGCAAGGCAGACTGGTCATTTACGTAGGGATACGTTGCTGCAGCTGTTATTTTTTTACTCGTTCCATTTTAAAATCACATATACACAGAAGCTCGACAGCACGAAAATTATTTTACATATGTTCAAAACTAAAAATGGCTTTTGCGCGCTAGTCAGTTCCGTGTCATCCCATATAATTTTCCGAACGACGAAGCAATTTCGGTTCATTGAAACGAAGAATTGCCCGTTTGCGTTAGGACTGCATTTGGGGGCATGAAATCGCACAGATATGCTAGGCCGACTTTTAATAATCGATAGAACTGATGGTTTTCTGAAAATAAACTGTGTGTTGTCCACTTCATTCCCATTGATAGCACCACGATAAAACCAATTTACAGGTGCTGCAAACTCTGCTTAGTTGATCTCTCAAACCTAAATTGCTCTCCGCTCAAAGAAATACACGCTCGGAATAGCTGTCAAAGTCTGGGAGAGATATTAAGAAAGGAGACTGCTCGAATGCATCGCAGCGTCCATTTTCACTCACATTTATGATCATTTGGCTTGAACAAGCTACATAGACACATTTTCTGCATAAGAAAAGGGCACTGGTTTAAAAGAGCTGGACGAGGGAGCAAAATTCGCAATGTTTGAAGCGTCCGTAAATGGTCACGTCAGACTCTATCATCAACCTTCATGAGTTAGGTCACGTACTGGACATCAGCGGCCACGTCGGACGTCCGCCGTCAACAAAATTGCCGGAACTTCGCCGAAGTAATGCACGGTTAAAGACAATTTTAAGGAAGGGGATTTCTGAACAACTTAAGATTATATATGTGGGAGTAAAACTGCCTTTTTGGAATAGCGGTCAGCCAATCTGTAAATTTCAAGCAATAGTGTTTAAGGCTCTGTATCGGTATTTCCTCTAAATTCAATAATTTTTCTCTGCTAATGCTCAGTCAAATGACGGTAATTATCAGATATAGGAAGAGTTGCAGAAATCCGTCTGCCGAGTATCTAAGACTCAGGTAGAGTTCACTTTAAAATTCACGAGCATGCACGCATCCACGGTTGTCGCATCTATACGCATCACCTGATTCTGACTTTCAAGAAACTAAACAGAAGAGCAGTCGGACTTTCTACTCGAACTACCAGGGCACATAGTCGATGGGCGATGCTTGAGTAAATCCTTCATCTTGTTGTTTCGAGATTGTGCCCTTTGGTGACGTAAGCCTACTTTTTCTAGAAGATGGCATATCTGTGCATTCAAAGTAAAGGTGGTTGGCAGGAGTCTATGATTACTTCTCACAACGTGCTTCACACTTCGAAGAGCAGATATATGTATCTGGGGTTTTTTGAGATTTTGTTGTTTTTACTGATAAATAAAAACGTCAGAATTCTCAACTGCGGGAGAAGTAAGACGGCCTGTGTACAGCCAACTCTCCAGACCCCGTGACATACGAGGTACCAACTGATAGCGATTTCTGCATCAGAGTTATATTCTTGACAGAGACTACGTCAATGTGGTTATGCAAGCAATTCCAAGACAGCATGTTTCCGACAACAGCCAATGTAGAATATACTAGAAGCATCTTTCTGTATGGGAGAGTTGAATAATTCACTGAGTAAGTTTGCTGAGACGTTACCTATGCGAGATTGTTGATGCGGGCAGCGTTTACTAGGTGGTTAGATTGTCAGCTGAATCCACGACTTATCCTCTCTCTAGCGGCCCGGAATCCTGCCGATGCTTTGGTTTTTTTAAGTGTCAGTTAAAAATTAGCTCCGGCATGTCTTACTCTCCGAACTTTTATCGCTCATGGCGGCCCTGATATTTTGATCCGGCGACAGCAGCAGGCACGGTGACCTGCGCTTGAATTACTTTATAGTGATAGAAGACTTGCGCAGCGTCAACGGCATTCTCTCTTTCCCACTCCCCATCTAGACCTGGTGTTAAGACAGGGTCAAGAAGAACGGAGAAGGGCAGGACTCAGGTGGCTGGCACGTTTTAGTCCGCACCTTAGCGTTCCACTCCAAACCCCCTTGTCCACACAGCAAATGACCAGGTTTTTTGGCCAACAACGGCAACAACACCCAAGAGAGGTCAGCCACACGCACGCACACACGACAAATCGACCGTCGCATCTGACGATGTCCACCGTGTGCTCCACAGCAGGGTGGTGACTTGTGCGAAAATTTAATTTATTGTGATAGTAGACAGCCTAAATTTCTGTCGCGTGCCCGCTGTTTCGGTGACTTTTTCCCACTGATATCACCCTGCATGACTTTAAGTACTTTGAAAGTGGAGGATCCGCTAGGCAATAATGATGTAATTCAGGAACAGATTATGGTGTTCGATGGTGGCATCTCCCAGGATACCCTATACCGTTTTTGTGAGACGACTTCATTAAAGATTTTGCTAGGCTACATATTTTCTGAGTACCACGTGACAGATGTGGGTTAGCGTAATCTTATGGATGTGCCAGTGGCCCTGATCGGAGGTGACATCTCGAAAAAACTGATCCGCCCCCCTGTCCCTAACATCAGACCTTGCAATATCACCACGTGTTTCATAGCCGACAGAAGGGAATCACATCATGCAAACTGCCTGCTGAGGCACATTTCGTCCGTCCACGAGGACTGCTACCTGAGTATTTTCACATCTTACCCGAACACAGCACAAACGAATGACGGCACCAAGACTAATGGTACTGTAGCCTACAAAGCTAAGCTCAAATTTACTCCCTCTACCTTTGCGATCGTGCCTCACAGTTTAATTCGTAGAGGTAACTTCGTCCAACGCTGGTTCACCAGCTTTGCCCGGCAACAGCGACTTGTGCGTAAATGTGTTTATGCTGAAACAGACTTACGCTACACCTTACTCATTACACCACCGCATCTGTGGTGCCGGATAGGATCGCAAAGTCAAATTAGCCTTGCGCGCAGTGGCGGACAATTTCGAACAGTTCGCCCCCAGCGTGACACCCACACACACAGCCTGCTTCTCATTTTGTGTACCAACCGAATTAAGTAAGTGTCGGATGTCGCACGGCTTTGAATGTCATAAACGCCACAATGAGAGTGAGTCCTTGCATACTGCCACGCAGCCCCGAGGAACACCAAGCTGGCCCATCAGCTGACAACCTTCCAAGCCACTACTTTTACAGCGACAGCCTTCTTATAACTAGGGATGCCCTGATTTGTCATAAGGATGCAGTTTCCAGCGTCGACTCCAAGCCCACTTATGCTCGTAACTATGCGTACATCGACAAGACAATGAACTTCCCCATGTATCTCGTTTGAACCTGACTTTGCATCCTGGACCTCAATCCCATTAAGGATTTAATCGCTCCTTCAGTTGACGACCACGCAAGCCATGAGAATAAGCTCGGTCGGAGGTCCTACGGTGCGTCACATTGTCCACTGCGTCAGCGCAGACTAAATCTCATACTCTATTGCCTACGCCTCATTATTAAAAACGATTCGATGTGGTTTGGTGGCACCACCTGAAGTTAGCAAACACCAGTCACCTCTAGCAGGAGATCGATTTGTAATAGGGTTTTTACAGATGGAGCCGGGGAACGCACAGGCGACGAGGTCAGGTAGTTGTATGCAAAAGAAAAGGTATTGGGAATGCGCGGTTGTACTTTGAATGGGTGAAAAATAGTTGCGCTAGCCCCTAACCCTAACGCCTAACTCTAACCCCTAATCCTAAACCCTAATCCTAACCCCTGACCATAACTCCTTAGCATAGTCCCAACAGTATCGTGTCCATCAGGTGATGATACCGAGTCACATCTTGCCTTAAAAACTCCAAGGTCACACGCCTTAATTAACGCGGTTTGAATCCTCAGCTAACCCGCATTGCGCATCCCATCTGCTACAGCAAGCTTTAATCACTCAGCGACAAGCATTCAGAAATAATTCCACGCAATCGGTTTCGAACAAACATAATTTAATAGGCTGACCATACACGTCTATTATAGGACCCCATTTCCACGTAGGGATGACCTGTAAACATGCATTTACAAGGGTCATTGATTAAGACTCTGCTTATTCGGTAAATTAGAGAAATTTAACACCTATCACCGCGCGGACGTAAGCACCATTGGTAATGAAATAGGTTATGATCAATTTGTTGGCCAGAAACGACGTAAATAGGAAATGGAGTCATTTAATGCCCGTCCGCAATGTATCTTTTTTTTACTTCCATCGCGCTACACTGACTGCTAGACTTGAGAAGCGGTCAGGGCAGGTTTAAGACCAAGAATAGATTTGTCATCGTCTTCGGCATCAACGTCAACGTTGAACACACTCCTCCTTCTGCGACGAACTACCAAGAGGTAGATTCCAACTGCCATCGCCATCAAGGAAAGAATTCCACACACCGTCACGGCGATAGCGGCTGGCGAAAATCCCTGTTCTTGTAAGGTTTCTGAAAACAGGGGGTTATTGTAACAAATAGCGGGTTTCAAAAGGCAAAAAACAGCGTGCGATCCGTTCTCAGGAAGGAAAATTCAGAATATGTCTCCCTTTAGCACTCAAGGATGCATCTCTCTCATTTTCAATATCAAATGGTCCTTTTAGCGCCATCAAGAAAAGAATTCCACACACCGTCACGAAAAGAATCCTTAAAAACAGAGGTCAGGAAATGCAAAAAACGAGGTGCGATTCGCCCTCAGGAAGGAACAATCAGAATGTGTTTCCCTTCATTACTTCAGGAAGCACCTCTCTTGTTTTCAATGCAGAATGGTCCCGCTACCTGGCAATTATTAGTAGCTTAATTTTTTGTCATTAATTACAGAACAGTGGGATTTAAATTGAGGGAGTCTTGGGAATATGCCGTGTGCCCAATCTTGTTGGTCGAAATTCATTTCGGTTTTGTCTTTATCATAGTCCGTAGAACCCACAAAGCCGTTATGCTGTTGGGCTTACTACCACGGTCACCGCGATAGTACTATTTTTTTAAAGTAGTTTTGTTGGTGGGAACTGACAAAAAATTGCGACAATATGCTTGCGAGTTCCGCGAAATAAGTCTTGAGTAATTTGTACTCCAAACCAATTTCGACTTGAACCATTTCTTGACAATATTGCATTTTACCTGCGAGTATCATTTTTATAGAGGTAGCGCGTCCGACTTTCCGCCCACACAATTTCTTCGGCGGACTTTCGTAAGAATGTAAGAAAATGAATTGTGTTCCCTGTCTAAGACGAATAAGGATGCTCATCGACATTTGTCTTTCAAATACCGACCTTTCTCTCGCTTGTTTTCATGAAGGCGAAGTGTGAGAATTTCAGTAGTCTAACTTCGATAAGTAAATTCGACTATCTTACCTACTATATATCGTATATATATACCTATATTGTACTAACTATATATCGTAGATGACTTGTTCGCTTAGAGCTTCGTAATTCGCGCTATATTATCTGGGTTTTAAAGGCAGATAAAATTGGAATATGAGGTTCATTCTTACCAGCGCTTGATTGTGTTTGAAGTTCCGTGAATTTTGTCCCCACATATTCCAGCTTTGTGTATACGCGATTTGAATCACTAAAAGGAAATCAGACATAGTTGTAAGGAGAGAAATTGGAGCATAACGTCTGTACAAGCGGCGGATACCTGCGATTTGATTTCACCTCCAGGGGACCGTTAATATTATAATCCGATTGAACCTTTCTCCCATTTAAGCCAAAGAAAAAGGGAATATGCGGCATAGCCGAACGAACATCAATGATGTAGAGGGCAGTCGACAGTGCAAGTAGAGAAATTATGCCAGTGACTGCGATGACGATTGCTACCGATGAGGAAGTCTCCTCTCGAGTGGTTTCTACAAGTAAAAGCCAAGGGCTAGAGCGGGTTGCGAAAAGCTCGTTCAACGCAGTAATTTTCGGTAAGTGCAGGCCTTGGCGTAAAAAATCCCAGTTCTGAAGCAATTGAATTTTAAAATCATTTCACTGTCTATCATCAAAAAGAGACATAAACATGTCCTGCTCTCAAAACAAACTCAATGGTTAGAAGTCATTTCAATTCAGCTGAGAGAAACAAACGATTAAGTAGATGGTCATTTGGTTGTCCAACTCTTCTAGTTGTTTGATTGATAGTACATCATTAGGATGTTTTTGCCTCCAGATGGAAGTTTTTTAAAAATTTTACTCGGATACACACCCTACTGATCCGTAGAATATTACTTTGTAATATTGGTGGACGGTAGCATGAAAACAAAAAGTTTGCCCGAAACGAATGAATACGATTGCAGTCATGTTTTAACGAGTTGTTTCCTCTGCTTTGTCTGTCTTCGTAGAGCGAAGCAGAGAAATTCAAATAACATACCTCGGATATTTTTCTTTTACGTGTACTCATAAGGGGATGCCTAATATCCCCTTTGAACTTCAGTGAACTCAGAGCCTAATCTGATGTGCTAGATCCATGTATTGTGGGTTGCAGGGCAGTTGCCTAAAAACGGTCATACCTTCTTCATTTGATTCGATTGGGACTGCAGTACTGGTTCCACTTAACTCGTCAAGGGAACCAGAGAGGTTTGTATCTGTTATATTTCCGTGTGATCCGGCGGGACCCTCCTCGTCAATTATGTAATTTGGATCGGTGGCCTTTGCTCCTACTATTGTTTCCTCAGTGGCGCCGAGGCCAGCTAGGGATTTATTTGAATCTAAATAAAGACAACGGTAGATAGCTGGTTAGGTTATGTTTTAGAATGTGAAAAATGACGAATATGTTTTCTGCATTGACCATACCTTTGCAAACGTCAGTTCCGATTCGACCCAAGGCATACGATTTATGCTAAAGGCCCAACTCCATTTATACAACCATATTATGTGTGCTGAACTTTGGGCTCGAGATTTGGTCATGATGGTGGCAAAACCAATAAAATCAGAACCTGCAGAAGGAGACTGCCAAGAAAGACAAGGGAGACTGAAATGACAGTTTCCAGCTTATTGACCGTCGTCACTCAGCCATAACCAACCCAAAGTTTTGGCACCTGGGATTCGAACCCGAGACATTTGGTCATTGAGTTGGACACTGTATCATTGAGCCACATGCCTTATATCTCTTGTCAGCTGCAAACGAGGATATGAAGTTGCTGTAAAAACGCCCACCGGCCGGGTTATTGGCTACATTCGTCTCCTGCCACGTATATGACTTGTTGATCTGCGGCTGCCTGATCAAGTCCCAAAATAAAAAGAAGGAGCATACCCTGCTACCCGATTACTATGCGCCTTTCCAACAAACCCAGTATCGTTGATTGCGCATACAAGCGCAGCCCGACTTACCAAGTTCACCTAAGCCCGCTTAACACAGTTCCGCCTTTAATTAAAACATTCGGTAAGCAAGTAACCGAGAATTAGCCGTCATGTTCAACAAATAACCGTTTACTTCGAAGTTTCTTTCTACTAAACTATCTGAAATTCATTACTTACTGAGAAGTCGAAAATTCAAAACATGTTAGCCGAGCTCAACAACAAAAGCGGTGTCTAATTTTACGATTTGAGAGAATGAATGAGATTCCAAAGAGCTGACGACACTTGCGAATGGACGATGTCATTCGTGGTTCTCTATGCCTCTGTGTACGACTTCCTAGGATGGTTATTTTCTGGCCCCCATGCAACGACTCCGTCCGCATTTAAGAATGAACTTGGTGAAACATGCCATAAGCTGACCGGTGGGCTTCCATTTTTCTTAGGTAGTCTACCCCAATTCAAACAACAGCGCAACAGAACCGTGGCTCACTGGCAGACCGACGAATCAGTTGTCCTCTAATGGTTGAAGATCCCAAGTTCGAGTCTCAGGTTTTCCATGGCAGGACTGATAAATCAGAAATGATAATAGTTAGCTTCCTTGTCTTTGTCGGTAGCCCATATTTGCATATGCTACTACTTGCTATGCAACTTCCTGGTAGGGTTCTGGATTGAGATTGCAGCGGTAGGGTAAAAGATCCCGAATAAATGTTAGTAGATCTTGGGTAGATTCATACGGGAAAGGTGACGACGGGGTTTTCTGGGTGGGGCAGCACGCCAGAGAGTAAAATGATAAAATACAAGAAAATACAGAAACTGTCTGGATTTCTGGCGAAAGTCCTGTCCTATGGTTTCGCCCAGAAACGAAAACGAGCGCGGTGTTTGAAAACTAGACAAATTCTAAAAAATAACAGAGTTGAAGCAATTATTTTAGGCCACCGGCAGTATTTGTTGCCGGCGGTACAACTTGGGCTGCGGCTCGCAAATGAATACTACGATAAAACCCCATACGGCATAATACACACTTTACTGACACTCAAGTGGTGTCCTTAAACATATCGTTGCCAAGCTTTAAGACACAAAAGAATGAGTACGGCCCGTAACCTGCACTATGTGTAAGAAGTCCATAATCTTATAAATCAGTGGGGGTTTTCGAAGTTAAGCAGTCACGACATGACCTCTTAGGAGCCCCCCGTAAGTTGCCAATCAAAACTTGGTGACGCAAATCCTACGGCTTCGATTCCTAGACAAGCCGCCCTTCTTTCACACCTAGCTTTAATATATATTAATACTTTTATATTTCGCGTCCAACAATAAAACCTCATTACCTGGGTGCTTACGTTTAAGTCTTGCATTTAATAAACTACTATTTTTATATTAAGTCGGAATTCGCACAACAACCAAATAAGGATACACGTAATAGCCAGACCACTCTAACTTTCCTCCTGCATCGACCGAGGCATCTGGAATGTTGCAAGTATGTATAACTCACTGTCATATCCCTAGCTAATATTCTCGGTTGCAACCGACAACAAAAAGGGTTCGTGACTCATTACTAGAATGCTGGACATGAAAACCTTCAATCTGTTAAGAATCCGGGTTCGAATCTTGGGTCATACAAACATGGCTGAATGACCTTATCCAGTAAGCCGGAAATGGCTATCCAGCTCTTCTACCTGCCATGATAGCGATCGCGACGAACCTACCTAGAAGATCTGTGAGTCAAAAACCCAAGGTTCAACGGGGTGAGATTGTCCTGCGAACTAATCGGTGAACGTTGCCACAAGGCCATAAGCGAATAAAACGCAAAAAGGCTCGTTGAAAAATCCCAGATATATTCGTGACTTTCTTCAGGCTGGTTGCACCATCACTTCGAAAGCACGGAAACTATAAAGCGTCAGAACCCAACATTGCACATGCATATTATCATCGCCTAATAATGCTCTAGTACTCTTAGGCTTGTATCAACTTCGTAAGTTAGAGGAAAAGTACATCCTAAATCCCTACTCAAGCCGCCGAATATAAATTATGATGGATTTTTCAGAATTAAGGTCGAAAAATTGGACAGATCCTTGTATTTTGGTCCAGCCCAACTCCATGAGAGGCGGAGTAAATTGTGCTAAACTTAAAAATAAACTATTGTCATTTGCAGCATTTAGTTATGCTAAAATCTTGCACTATTTTTCAGCCTGTTTGAACAACAGGAACTTGAGTCGTCGTTTCGCGATTCGAGAAAATAAACGGCGGATTAAGGCGAATTTGGTCAAACTTGAGCGCCCCATTTTTTGCCAGTGCGACTCCATTCTGGGTGGAGTAAATGATATTAGATCTTAGATGGCGCTTTTTATGCTCTGAAAAATAGAGAGTATTCTAACATGCTGCAGCAGACCTTGTAAGTACTAGGCCATGATACCTGTCCACAGATGACAGAATATCGTGCAGTACAGTTGCATCGATTTGGACCTTCCAGCTGCAAACGGTCATTTTCAGTCTCCTATGCCTTCCGGGAATGCCTGCAAGGATCCCCTAAAACATTCATAACAAGGAAAGCCGGTGTGTCTTGAAACATCGTGTGCTGGGGTAAGCTGCATTTGATCAGGCCGGTCCTCATGCATGGTTAAAGTTACTCCGGCCTCGAGGTAATTTCTAATTCTAAAAGATTTTATTTAGGTTGCCTTAATTTCAATAACCTCAAATTCATTTAATTACCTTTTAAATTCATTTTTATTATCTCGAATTCATTTATTATTATTTAGGCGAGATTGAACGTGAATAAGAGTACAACCGTCCCCAACTATTACGCAAGGTCGTAAGTAAAAAAGAAATGGTTGCATTATAGACCATACTGGAAAGGAGATAATGGCAATATCGCATTTGCATAGAATTTTTGCCTTAATGCATTCAGAAATCAAATATCCGGACCAATCTAAACCTCTTATTAAAGCTTGTGCCTCCACCTTCTTCCTTTCACAAAGGAAAGTTAAATTGCGATAGCAGTATACATGCCCTCAAACCCCTAAGAAAAGTTCCATTATTTGAACCAATGCATCGAGGATTAAGCCTTGAGATTTGGCACACACTGACTTACTTGAGGTCCGAAGTTGAACGGTGACATTAGTTTTCTCGCCCTCTAGAACTGTAACTGCAGCGACGGAGACCTGGTAAACGTGAGTGAAGTCGAATGCCTCCTTGAATGTGACGTAGGTGTCCTCAATCACCTTGTCACTGACTACACAGTGCGAAGTCATGTCCATCAGTTGAATGGCATATTTTCGAACAACGCCGTTATGCACGATGGGAGAGCTCCAGGAACAGGCAAGTCTGGGCGATCCAGGTGGCATGTGAATGCAGCTGAGAAGCTGAACGGGACCTGGAGCTGCAGGACAGGTAAGAAAACATGGGAGGTTGAATATATGTTTGGTTGGGGGACAGGAGGCATGATATAACGAAGATGTCGACCGGATTTATCTGGTAGCTTTCAAAGCCATGTTTATGACAATCTGTCTGACAGTTACCTGGAAAAATAAAAGAACGCACGACGCAGGCACATACTGATTTCAGGATCAACGTCGGTTTCGTTTCGACAAAAAATTAGATTTTTCGTACATTAAAAAGGGTGTCAGAATTTAAACTTATTATTTCTTTTTGTATTAAGACAAGGGAAGTGCCGGGAAAACCAGTTCAGCCACATCACCCAAACGCGAATACTGTTTACACTTAATCTTTACATAGTGTCGATTTTAGGATCGAATGTCGTAACTAATAATAAGATCGAAATTTTGCTCTTAAACCTAATAACGATCGATGCATTAACATTTGAATAGAATGCTAAGATTACGCGGCATATTTGAGCTGGAGCACTTTAAACAATAAAGTTTTACAAAACCTTTGTCTATTATAGTGTGGAGGGTTTCAGTGAAACCAACAATAAGGTAACTTTAACTCAATATAAGAGCATTCTCTATTATAGGACGAATGAAACACGTCACAGTTGCCTGGTACATGCCATCGCTCCTAACCAACCGTCTTTTCTTGGCTTTTTTTGGAGTGTACACAAACAAAGTCTCCGCAAATGCATCCTAATGTTGCACAGTATGGTATGGAATTCACGGGACCAAATAAATGTCAAATTATCTGCACTTATGTTTGCACACGAAATTGTTTTTTAAGGTGGCACATAGACAAAACGAACATTTTTGCTCCGAATCAAGATGCGGCAGATCGTCTGTTTTAGTAATGCGTTTGATTAATATTTAAGAAATGCCGTCTTCATCAGTTAACGTATATAAATGTGCGTTTAGGCGTAAATTCGGAACGGGATAGCAATTTTTTCTTCTGCCGGCCATCTTTTGTCCCCTTACTTATGATACTGTACGAATACTAAGTATTTCATAAGTCAGCAACTAGACAATGCTAATACTTTGCTTCTAGTTAATGCGGGTAGATCAAAGCCATACTTTGGCAAAACATCGGAACCAAATTATCTCACCAGCTTCCTTTGTAGTTACTGACACCAACGGGCTGATCTTTCCGAAACCACCGCCCAAGCCATCGCTGTTCGGATTCGTGTACGCCTGAACTGCCAAGGCAGCGGTTGTGTACGGCTGAAGTCCGTTAAGAACATAACTGAGGGCGCCAGGCCCGGTTTCGTAAAAAAGATTTTGCGAGCCCTCATAAACCAACACCCGATACTTGCTTATATCCCCATTTGGAGTGAGAGGGGCCTTCCAGTTGATCTTCACGGCGGTCGAGCTGACGGCAGTCACGGCTATCTCGGTCGGTTCTGTGGGAGCTTATGTGAAGAACGGTGCAAAACAGGCATTACTTAATGAAATAAGTGTAGGCTGACTGTATGCGCAGTTGTGTGCAACATACCATCGGGCCATGTCTTTGGGGATCGTTCGAAGGACGGCTGACTGTATCCACCACCCAGATTCTGCTCATTTGGCAGAACAAAGGCCTCCACGGTGCATTTGTACCTTGTGTTTGGAACCAACCCAGACAGTTTAGCGCTGAGCGTGTCATTGGATACTTGAACCGATTTCACATTGTCCTTTTGACCATCCTCACTGCAATTGATGCGGTAATGACCGAGAATGCCGTACACGTTGTTTACCTTCCACCACTCCATAAACACAGAGTCTGGTCCAACTGCAGTAGCGCTCTTGACGATCGGCTGTTCTGTGGCTAGGGGCAGTAAGATTATTGTATCGCATGACTTCTCTCAAAGCATTCGAGTTAATGCTTATTTTCATATTACTGACAGTATATGATTGCACGTTAGAGGGCTGACAACAGGATATTTCTTGACTCCTTTCGGCGTCCATGAGAATCGAAGCTGACACTACTATTTTAAAGAAGTTCATGTGTGTCAGTGCTGCAGGTACACATGAAATTTGTATCTCAAAAATTCACATGAAATATCATCTTCATTGGTCATACGCGCTCTGTCACATTCGTTGTCAACCAGGTGATTGAGCGTTGTCTACTTAGCTAAAGGTCTGTTAACAGTTACCAGAAATATCTTAAGTCACCATGTAGAAGCATCTGCTGGGTTAAAACTTAATCATAGTGCTGCATTTGTACTCGAGGTCGTGGAGGGTAGGAAATTGCCACTTGAGTACTAACAATAGAAACTTATGGGGACTTTAACTGTCGTGTGCAATCTATCAACTATCTTTATCTAGAAATTCCACGGCACCAAATCTGAAAACGCCTGTATCTGTATCGAATAGTGAAAGGGTTACTGCGTTTGATGCCCAGTCACATGGGCAATACAGTCGAACCTTGTAAATCCCAGTAACGGTATTTAACTGCGGAGATACCGTCCGTTAACGGCATTAATAGGTTGCCGACGAATAACATATTTACAACGTTCGTTATGGCAGGTAATGAAGCCCAACAGGCGGCCACAGTGAGAAATCTTCTCTAGGTGGGTCGGGTACAACGGGATGGCGGTTTTGAGGGGAAGAACGGGCGGGGTAAACGGCAAAGGGCACTGGATTGACAGCTGGATGCCGAAAAATGTTGAAAATGGCAGAAAAATAAATATTTGTTTTAATGAAGTCAAAAATACCGCAGGATGGCGCGCAAATAGGGAAAACCGTAGGCAATGACCAATCGAAGGAGGGCTGGCCGGGGGCGTGATGTGATTGGCGGCCGGGGCGAGTAAACCTGAACCGCCAAGCGGCTAACCAATGGGATCGTTGGCGCCGCACTTGAAAGTGGTGTGCATTAGATGGACGGGAAACGGACGATGCGTAAGGGGGACGTGAGGGGACAGCGGTGTACTGCGGTTGGGTAGGAGTATTTGAATAAACCGCTTATGACAATTGCGTCACTTCACAGCCCCTTACTGACCCCCTCCTCAACCCCTCCCTATTTGTTATATCGGTGATCTCCACGGCATGCACCGTTTAATACGCATAACGCGAACAATGTTTAGGATACCTGGACGTACTCCAACACCACCGCACCAACCTACAGCATGTCGGCAAACTCCCGAACTTGGCGGTCGCTGTTTTACGGGATTTGTAAGTATCCATGATGAGAGCAGTTTGTAGGCCTACGTAACCCTTTTAAGTTTAAATTTATCCGCCGTAACCCAAATTGGGGGACCAGGCGTGGAAGTACAGATAGACGAGACGCTCATAAGTCGCCGCAAATATAACAGGGGACGACCGCGGCGGCAGATGTGGGTCGTAGGTATGTACGATACAAGCAGGCGGAAAGCCCTATTTGAGCAGA